ACACACACACAAACACACACACACACTTCACTTCTCCCAACATCCATTCCTTTCTTTCTTTTGAAAGAGCTAAGACAAATGTATGACCACCACCCCCAACCCAGCTTCACTGTTAGCATATTCATACACAATCCTGATAATTAAATCTTCTTCAGGTGTTCTGTAAGCAGTCGTGTGGACTATGTCCATTGAATTCTCTGGAGAATGCAAGAGGCCACACCCTAAGACTCCTAACTCCATCAAGTGCTTGGGTTTGATTGGTGCACCTGGCACCTGAGAGGTGGGTATGGAGGGTGTGGTGGGTGTGGAGGGTGTGGTGGGTGGGGAGATCCATAAAATGGGCTGATGAGATGATAAAGCCTGTCTGTTAGAGGCTTTCTTCAGAGAGGAAGCATCTTCCTGCAACTCGAGGTCCCAGCAGGGAAACCTCAAGATCATTGGAGACATGGAGGCTGCTTCACCCCGCTTGGGAGGCGAGTCTCAGCTCAATGTCTTTCTGGAACTCCAGCCTTCCCGGCCACAGCCTGCTGATGCTCAAGTCCACTGGAGCCCTTATCTTCATGAGAACTCATTGTGGTCCACTAAGGCAGATCTCAGCCTGCTTTATGATGCAACGCCGGTGGCAACGCAGCTGGCTCCCAGGGATAAACTCCCACTGAGTTGGAAGAGACCTTTTGGGGCTGGCGCTGGCCTCCGGAATATGGGAAACTCCTGCTACATGAATGCGGCCCTGCAGTGTCTGACGTACACACCGCCCCTGGCCAACTACATGCTGTCCCAGGAGCACTCGGAAGCCTGTCACCGGCAGGGATTTTGCATGCTGTGTGCTATGCAGGCTCACGTTACTCGGGTCCTCCACCATCCTGGCGACGTTATCCAGCCCTCGTGTGCACTGGCTGCTGGCTTCCACAGGTACAAGCAGGAAGATGCCCATGAATTTCTCATGTTCACTATGGATGCCATGAAGAAGGCATGTCTGCCTGGGCACAGGCAGTTCGATGGTCACTCGGAGGATGCCACCCTAATCCATCAAATATTTGGAGGCTACTGGAGATCCCAAGTCAAGTGTCTCCACTGCCATGGCATCTCAGACACCTTTGAGCCTTACCTGGATATTCTATTGGATATCCAGGCAGCTCAGAGTGTGAACCAAGCCCTGGAAAATTTGGTGAAGCCCGAACAGCTGGATGAAGAAAATGCCTATCAATGCAGCGTTTGTCTGCAGAAAGTGCCTGCTTCAAAGAGCTTGACGATGCACATTTCCTCGAAGGTCCTCATCCTTGTACTGAAAAGGTTCTCGGATTTCACAGGCAACAAAATTACAAAGGAAGTGCAATATCCTGAGCGTCTCGACATGCAGCCATACATGTCTCAGCAGAACCGAGGATCGCTTGTCTACACCCTCTATGCTGTGCTGGTTCACGCAGGGTGGAGCCGTCACAACGGACATTACTTCTCTTACGTCAAAGCTGGGAACGGCCAGTGGTACAAAAAGAATGACGCTAAGGTAACTGCCTGTGACATCACTTCTGTCCTGAATCAACAAGCCTATGTCCTCTTTTACATCCAGAGGGGTGAATTGGAAAGGGACAGGACGGGCGTGTCAGCAGGCGGGGAACTGAGCGTCCTTGGGGCCGAAGACAACGACGTGGGAGCACCCCAAGGAGAGCTCGAAAGAGACTCTGACATCGCGGGTCCTGGGTCTGAGGAGCACCTGGAGAAAGCAGCAACCAAAGAAGTCACCTTAGACCAGTGGAAAATCCTCCAAGAACAAAACCGGCCTAAGCCTGTATTCGACCTGAGAAAAACAGAATGCACCCTGCCTTCCAATGCAGTCGTGATTCACCCGTCGAAGTTCAAGGGTGGGTCGAACAAGAATCATCCTGAACGGGAAAACCAGCTGGTGGACAAACTGCCCGGGGCCAGAACCGGTCTGGGGCCTGTGAACACTGGCAAACTCTCTTTTCAGGGAGAAAGGGCTCGAAGGGCCAAGAGGAAGAACATGCAGGGCAAGAGGACTCTGGTTCTGTTCCGGTGATCTCAGCACAAGAAACGGCCCACGTGCACACACAGACACACACGGTCTTGCCTGAAAACTTAAGAGGTCAGGTCTGACAATGTGCACGTGGGCCAAGGCTCCAAGGTCAGGAATGAGGGCAGGAGGCAAGCGACCTGCTCAAATCCCATGCCTCATCTGCCAGAATCTCCAAACAAACGGGGGCTCAGAATTTCCAGACCCTGCAAAGGAGCCACTGAAGACCCAAGCTGCGAATCTCCAACGTCTCCATCTCCCAAGAGGAAAAATGGTTTGGGCCCAAAGAAATCTACATGACCAGGAGGAAACTCGCCAGAAGCCTAGCATCGACCTGCAACCTCAGCACCCAGGGCTCTCCTTAATACTCTCCGTGCCTGCACCCTGTCCCTTACCCAAAACCCGGCCATGATCCAGGAAGGCCACTCAGAATGGTCTTCAAGAGGTTGGACCGTGGATGGTGGAGATTCAGGTTCACGAAAACGTCCCGATCCAACCCTTCTGCGAAGCCAGTCCCTCCTGATCAGAGCGCTCAGACCTTAGTGAATCCGAGGGAGACTTTCACGAGTTCCAGGGCTTGTTCTCTAGGAAGACCTTCGGGCTTCCTTTT